AAGTCTCTGAATGTCCTTGAATGGCCGGACTTGAACCCGATTGAACATCTCTGGAGAGACCTGAAAATAGCTCTGCAGTAACGCTCCCCATCCAACCCGACAGAGCTTGAGAGGATCTGCAGAGAAGAATGGGAGAAACTCCCCAAATACAGGTGTGCCAAGCTTGTAGCGTCATACCCAAGAAGTATTGAGGCTGTAATCACTGCCAAAGGTGCTTCAACGAAGTACTGAGTAAAGGGTCTGAATACTTATGTAAATGTGATATTTTGGTTTTTGGTGCAAAAATGTATACAAACCTGTTTTTGCTTTGTCATTATGGGGTGTGTAGATTGATGAGGGGAAAAACACTTGAATCCATTTTAGAATAAGGCTGTAATGTAACAAAATGTGGAAAAAATCAAAGGGTCTGAACACTTTCTGAATGCACTGTATGCACTTGAATGGAAAATGGGAAGTTCAATTACCAGTTGAGAAATAAAAATAGAATCTCTTTTTAATCGTGGCTATCCAAACTGTTTTTAACATGTGATTTCATTTAGAATTGTTGCGCAATGATTGGGCTTATTAAAGCACGTTTTACTCCAGCAGCAAGCTGTAACAGCTGCTCTCCTGCTGTCTGACAGATTTTCTGCTTAAACTAGGCTCTGTATCTGTATGTGTCACGGATTCAGCCGAGGCTGCCCCCCCTCCTTGCTCGGGCAGGCTTCGGCGTTCGTCATCACCGGAGTACTAGCCGCTACCGATCCATGTATCTATGTTCGACTTGTTTTGTCTTTATTGGTCACACCTGTTTCCCATTATGTAGTTATGTCTTCCCTATTTTAACCCTCTGTCTCACACTGTGTGTTGTGCGTGTTTGTTCATGTTTCGGTTGTCGTCAGTGAGCGGGTTTGTTCCCTTCCTGCGTGGAGGTTGTTCATTCTTTTACCTTCGAGTAAAGTACGCCTTTTGATTAGCTCTGTGTCCTGCGCCTGACTTCGCCTACCGCATTACACTGACGCCGTGACAGTATGTTGTGCATGTGTGATAAATAAGAATCATAACGACTAACGAAAATACACATGGGCAAATTTTATTCCACGAAATTATGTAAATTAACCCATAGACCGATAAGAATGACCGGGTAAATGCATTTACATCTACTGGTATTTTCATCAATTAATAGGCTAAAGGCATTATTATACAAAGCAGGGAATCGCACCACCAGTGCCCAATAAAAAAAAACGCACAACCCTCCCCAAAGCAAAAAAAAAAAGTTAGGCAACCCCTTTTGGACCAAGGTCTTTAGGTGGCTTTTATTTTTCCATGTTTTTTACCCCCTACGCCTTTCAGATATACGAAAAAGCTGGAATAAAAATGCAGGCATGGTAAATTAGTGGGATTTTGGTCTGTTTATGAAAGGTTTTTTTGAAACTCCTATCAGATCACTGGGTGTTAATTTAAAGCGTCAAGGAATACGTTTACGTGTGGGTACAGTACATGTAGGTGTTAGTTTTGCCTGCCACTCCTGCACTGGGAAGAATATTATGAATGCTGCAGGGTGGGGACCTGCATCATACAGTGTATGATTCATCACCAGGCTCATTCCCAAAAGTAATATGAGAAGGGGGAACAGAATGTCAGACAAATCCTGGTTCTTGTTCCATCTTTGTTCCCTTGTGTTCTATTAATTCAGTTTATGATGTTGAGGATTGGTTGAATTAATGCAAACCTGCCAATTCTCACAGGCCTGCTATGGTTCATTGATGATGCCTTGATCATGGTAAGGGATTAGCTGTAGGTTGCTATGGAGGTGGGTATAAACGTCACACCTAGTAACAAACATAAGATCCTATAGACTATGCTAACACCTCACCCTGTCCCCATGGTAAACACAGAACAGATCTGTCACTCGGAGTGGGTTGTTGTTTGACTTCTACAAACAAGAGACACATCTGCTTGACAAGATTCCTGTCACACACCCACAAACCATAGAAACTGACATTTATTTTTCCACCTATGCATTAGACCTTTGTGGTTGGGGCTGTCTGCAAACAGATCCTCCCAGAGGCGCAAACGTGTACACATGGAAACTTTCCATGGAAAAGTTTCCCTCATCATAACTAAAAAGTTAACAGATAACTGTAAGAATCTCACGTTACCGTTATACTTTAAAAACATAACTCACAAATAAACACATGCAAACCTGTGTCATGTTGTTGTACATAATTTACTTTTCATGCAGGTGGGAAAGTTGCTCCGTAGGGCAGGGATCATCAACAAGTTTCAGCCACGAGAGGATGTTCAGGGGGCCGGAACTTAATTACAAATTATTTGTAGACTGCAAATTGACCACAAGAAGCCCAAACAGATATAACATTTGACAAAAACATAATAATTTCAAACCTTGCTTACATTTGTATATGATCACATATATCTCTCTATTATGCGTGGGAATACTTTGGAACAGATTTCCAAAATTAAAATCACTTGGAGCTGATTTGCTGGTGTTTTTACAGTCTTTTATATTCAACATAAAAATAAATAAAACAATTTGGGGGGCCGAATAAAATCACCCATGTGCCAAATTCGGTGTGCGGGCCGCCAGTTAAGGATCCCTGCCGCAGGGTGCGGTCTCCCTTAACAGGGATCAGGGAAATAAAGGAGTGGCCTTGGGGAAAAACCTGTATAAATACGCCCTGACACATACCTCTCTAGTATACCTCTGCCATATCAACGCACAACAGGTAGGTCTTGGAATTCACAGCATTCATGTGTTTATACTAAATCAGGTCCTTGGACTCTAACCTGGAGATATTCATCTGGTTTGATATACTAAAATGTGTTTCAAAGAAGGTGCACATTGAAGGTTATAGCTTCATCCCTGTAGGGAAGTAGAAGACAGCATTCCTATCCCCTATGACAAGGAAGTGCATATTTGAAGTCAGATCGTTAGATCTCTCATTGGAGGTCGCCTACTGTATGATCTTCTGTATCACAGCATAGGCTTTCAGAATTCACTGCATTTAAATGTCATGTAACGATCCAAATGGACCACTGAACTCAGCGAACTGATGTTGCCACGAGCAGCACCGCAGATGTTGTGATGCAAGACTTTGCTCAGTCACACACTATTTGCGCATGGGTTCGCTACACGTTAGATCAGTGTATCACAAACTCGGTCCTGGGGATTCCAAGGGGTGGACGTTTTGGTTTTTGCACTAGCAAAAACCAAAACGTTCATCCCTTGGGGTCCTGAGGACTGAGTTTGGGAAACACTGTTTAGAGTGTGGTAGGTACGGGACCAAAATGACTGAGAAGTTTAGCCTCACGCTTCAACGCTGTTGCGGAAATTCACCCACTCTGCTATTTACTTTGTGCACCTACGTCATAATGCTGTGTCTACCTTTTAATCAGTGGCAATGCAAATTTGTTTTTAACAAGTGGAGAGGTTTTAACAGAAGATGGACACCTGCCATTCATGTGTTTGTGATCCCTAACATTCCATGAGGCACTGAACATTCCACTAAACTCTTAGCAGTTCTATGACTGAATGTTTTTTTGTCTGTTAACTTATCCTGTTGCCTTGAGGTTCCTGTTTTCACATTTGTCTGTTTGATTGCATAACTGTCAGCCTGTTAGGAATCTAAATAGAGTTGAGTCGCTTCCCTTCTCTCATCATAATAATTGTTAGGCTACACTGTACACACAGAATCCAGGAAGTAGGCTAATCTTGAAATGTATACTGACATGAATACCTTGGCTGGTTTACTTTTGAAACGAATTTCATGTGTGCAAGGGTATTTATGTATTATGGCTTTGTCTGCTGAAATGAACACTGTACCTCCAATTTCCAGACTCACAGTAGGTGTGGTCTGACACGCAATGGTGACAGAGATTCAAAATGGTGGGGTGAGGGTAGGACGGGTCTAGGGTTGCAAAATGCCGGTAACCTTCCTGAAATCCTGGTTGGTGGATTCCCAGAGTTCACGCTTATTCTGTCGTAATTCCAGAAATTTTCCAACCAGGATTTCTGAAGAGGGGAAGTTTGGGGAAGTTACCAGAATTTTGCAACCCCAGGTGTTTGCCTGTTTGATATGGTCTGACATGAATGCCTTCTTACAATGCTGTACAGAAGGCATTACTCATTATCAGTAATGTATACAAAACATTAGGAACACCTTCCTAATTGCGTTATGCCCCTTTTGCCCTTAGAACAGCCTCATTTTGTCAGGGCATGGACTCTACAAGGTGTCGCAAGCGTTCCACAGGGATGCTTCCCACGGTTGGCTGGATGTCCTTTTGGGTGGTGGAACATTCTTGACACACATGGGGAAACTATTGAGTGTGAAACCAGCAGCATTGTAGTTCTTGACACACAAACTGGTGTGCCTGGCACCTATCATACCCTGTTCAAAAGCGCAAATATTTTGTCTTGCCCATTCACCCTCTGAATGGCACACATACAATCTTTATTTTTTTAGGGGGTAGGTCAGCTTTAATATTGCAGATTGTGGCTTCCATCAATGTAATCACAAACCCCCATATCATTTGTTTATATACAATCCTTGTCTCAAGGCTTAAATCCTTCTTTAACCTGTCTCCTCCCCTTCATCTACACAGAAGTGGATTTCACAGGTGACCTCAATAAGGGATCATAGCATTCACCTAGTCTGTCTGTCATGCAAAGAGCAGGTGTTCATTATCTTTTGTACACAGAGTATCTGTCATCATTATGTGAAAAGACTGGTATGGTTCCAAAGATTATGGCTAAAATGTGTAATGTTTTAAGCATATGTTCTCAAGACCTATATGGTTGAAGTATTTAAAATGCAATAATTCATATTCCTCACCCTCTTTTTCAGATAAAATGGATGTAAGTAATTTTTGTAATACTATCATATTTGTTTAGTGCAAGGGTATCCATGCATTTTAAATAAATCGACATCTTAATGCATTGAACTTTTACACATCACCAATCCTCATCCCCCTTCTTCCTCTCGCTCCCCTGTAGCTGTCAGATGCTCTGGGTGGTGGACCAGGCTGGCCTGGCCAGAACAACCAGCAGGGTGGTCAACCGGCTTGGCCTGGTCAGCAGCAACCAGGCCAGCCCACCCCCATGTGGCCTGGACAACCAAACCCTTCCCAACCCTCATGGCCGGGGCAACAAAATGGAGGTGGTGGACAGCCAACCTGGCCCGGGCAACCAGGGGGAGGACTGCCCAGCCAGCCAACCTGGCCCGGACAGCCAGGGGGAGGACTGCCCAGCCAGCCAACATGGCCAGGGCAGCCTAGCCAACCTACTGCCCCTCAACAGAAGTCACTGGTAAGGGAAGACCTTTAATCCTGAGGATATTGGTTATGGTGATTTGAAAAACCATGCCACAAGGTTAGCTTTGTGGCAGACAGTGATCAAGACCTCTGTGTGTAAGCCTGTCCAAATGAAACAGCTGTTTTTTAAATTTTATTTGCTGTTCTCAATAGACCATTTTTATTTCCCCAACAGAAAGTGCCATATGATCAGAACCTGCCGAACGGATGCTATGACAAGATGCTCATCACTATTAACGGGACGATTAACCACAATGCCAAAATGTCAGTATTCACATAAAAAAAAAGTTGTTATTGCAGCTATTTCCACATTATGATTCTGAATGTTACATCAGTCTTGTAGCCAATTGTAGGTACTCAAGTGGCATACCCTTCCTTGATATGTTGCCTGCAAAACTATTCTACTGTAGCCTGGGTACCTGTTTGTTTGTGCAATCTTGCCACTCCTTGGCATGACAAGGAGATAAAATGATTGACCAAACCAATCTGGAACCAGGCTACTTCTGCTACTCAATCTAAGGATCAAAGATGGTTGAGCCTATGTTCGTCAGAATGTGACTCATAAGTATCTACCTCATGCTGTAAAAAGAGAATAATGGGAGGATTTGCATAGATAATCAAGGAGTGGTGAGTTAAAAAAATCGAGGTTATTGTGAAATTGAAATCCATGGGGTTCTTTGAAAGAGGTTGGCAGACACCATTATTTATAATTCTCAACTGATTTAGATTTTCACTAATTTAATGACAATGGGTGAGGAAAGAACAAATGAATTCAATGCCAGATAATACCTACCACAATTCACTCTAAGTCAAGGTCACAGTAACTATGGCCACAATCTCTGAGCCCACACATCACCATGGAAACGTCAGTGCTGATGAGACCGCTTTCACAACACCCATTCCTCACAAAACATAATGCTGTTGTCTGACTTATAATCGACACTAGTTAAACACATTTATGTAAACCTCACAAAATCCTAGGTTCACCACCATGTTATTTGCCTGGTCCCAGATCTGATTGTGCTCTTAACTCCATTGGTCATTGTCAAGCCAAACTAAATTGTTTGACTTGAAAATGAGAGGCAAGGAGTTGGCATTATAGCACACAGACTGGCACTTGGGGTACCATGCTCTTATTTTAGTGTAAATGTCAGGGTAATGTTATTATCTCCTTTTTTTAGGTTCTCATTGAACCTGACCAAAGGGGATGACATTGCCATGCACTTTAACCCTCGCCTTGATGACCAGGGCAAGAAAACGATTGTGAGGAACAGTCTGATAGGCAGTAAATGGGGCATCGAGGAGAGGGAACACAACCACTTCCCCTTCACTCAGGGCCAGCCCTTTGAGGTGAGGGATCTACATTCCTGTTTACTATGATGGTCGGGGTCCATTGAGAATTAGTTGTGCACTATATTGGGAATAGGGTGCCATTTTGGACACAGACTTAGACAACCCTATATTAATCTGAGGATTTTTTTTTGAGGCGTTTATGAAAATGTTATCACTATATACATTCATTTAATTTTATCAACAGTCATTGATTTTTGCATAATGAGTTTGGTCCTGTGTTTTTCCAGATGAAGATCATGTGCACTAACAATGAGTTCAGGGTGGCAGTGAACAGCTCGCACCTCCTGGAGTTCAAACACCGCATCCGTGACCTCCACTCAATCAAACACCTGGGCATCTACAATGACGTCACCCTCACGTCTGTGGAGATCAACAAACTCTAAGATCAAGCAGGTTTGGGTCCAGCAATAGAAATAGAATGACTAGCATGGCCTAGCCTCAGGTTATTTCTATGATTCCAGAGACCTCTCATAATTGTCTTTTAAACAGAAATGTACAGAGGCTTGAGTCTCAACCTTTAAGCCACCAGGACTATCATATGTACCTGTGGAAAAAATAATTTAAATAAAATGATAAAGGAATTTCACTTTTTTTATGGCGAATTCATATACTTTGGTATTTTCAAGTAATCATTGTGTAAGCTGGTAGTAATGTATAAACTATATGCAATACAATTATTTCCCTTGAGCATATTGTTTTGTTGACAGGTTTTTCTCAATCCTGTGAAGATCCTCTGTAGCTCAGCTGGTAGAGCACGGCGCTTGTAACGCCAAGGTAGTGGGTTCGATCCCTGGGACCACCCATACACAAAAAATAAAATAATGTATGCACGCATGACTGTAAGCCGCTTTGGATAAAAGCGTCCGCTAAATGGCTTTATTATTACATTACAGGTTTTGTCTTGTATAATGTATCCCACTAGGTGGCAGAATTGCTACTTAAATGTTTGAGAATCACAAGAAGCCTAGTATAGTTTTTTCCATAAGCAGTTATCTGGTTTCTATTACCAACCATCAGCACTTAATGTTTACTTGGGGGAGGAGAGGGTCTCTGAGCAATATTATTGTTGACAATTGTATCTCAAGTGATGCAATGTGACTTTACAGAAAGAGCACTATGACTAAATCAACACAATCTTTACACTAGTTGCCACTAAACAAAATATGCTATTTACACCACTGAGAAATTCTTGCTTTTAATTTATTTCAGTTCTCTATACATTTAGACTGTATGACATGCTGCTGGTGTCTGTCATTAGTGTTTCTCAAGTATGTTAAGTGCTACATTTTTGTCACAATGTGGCAGAACTTGTAAAACACTCTTAGAACTCTCACAACAGCAATGAACCCCTTGTGCTACTATGATCACTGTTAAGATGAGACTGGCAAGATGCATGTAGAAACATCACAGGGACTTCTGGCATGCCTCTGGCTGTTGTCAATAATCTACCAGCCAGACCATGTCTCCTCCTGATAACTACTTCCCCAACAATAACTGACAGTGTCAGGTAGACCGGGGCAAATAGGAGGGTGTGTTGACTGAGGAGAGGCAGACACAGCTACACCAACAACTGAGTGGCTCATATCTCCGGGGGAGGGTGTGGCCAGCCAGATGTGGAGCAAATGTTTACAGTAGTGTACAATAATACACAGCTCCATGGTACCTTTTTAATTTGATGAACACTTGGTTGAGATACAACACAAGGGTGTTTTAAAAATGCTTCCTTGACGAAGGCACTCGCAGGCACACTGATCTGTATGGCTAGGCTACACACAATGAATATGAGTCACCCTCACAGGAGCCTGTCTCTTAAGAGTTCAAAGCTTGTATGTCTTTATGATAACAGTTGGCACCTTGCCTCTGGTATATGATTCAATGATAAGTATAAAGATTGATCAAAGCTACTGGAGGGAAACAAAACATTGACTGATCACATTCCCCTCTACAGCAGGCTACCAGAGGAAGCTGGCACATGCTTACCTGACTGACACAATTCTGTGTTGTGGCGTGTGGGAAACAAGTTATGCATCCCAAATGGCAGCCTGTTCCCTATATAGTGCACTACTTTTGGACTTCAGAGTCCTATAGGCCCTTGTCAAAAGTAGTGCACTATAAAGGGAATAGGGTGCCATTAAGGGATACAACCAAAGACACCTTGGTATCCTAAGTCAGGTCACTGATACATTTTTCATGGAAACTAAAAACAGAAGAGATTAATTATTCATTGACTTATATTCTCATGTATAAAATGCTGTGAAAGTCAAAGATTACTGCATAAAAAAACAAAATGAAAGAAAAGCGTTGCAAGTTTGAATTTTGTAAAGTTAGTGGGAGAGGTGGAAAAATGATTGTTATCGATAAATAATGACAAACCTCCTGGCATTGACAACTTAGATGGAAAGATACTGAGGATGGTAGCTGACTCTATAACCACTCCTACCTGTCATATCTTTAATTTGAGCCTAGAGGAAAGTCTTTGTCCTCAGGCCTGGAGGGAAGCCAAAGTAATTCCGCTACCCAAGAGTGGTAAAGCAGCCTTTACTGGTTCTAACAGCAGACCTATAAGCTTGCTGCCAGCTCTTAGCAAACCGTTATTTGACCAAATACAATGTTATTTCTCTGTAAACAAATTAACAGACTTTCAGCATGCTTACAGAGAAGGGCTCTCAACATGTACTGCACTGACACAAATTACTGATGATGGAAGTAACAAAGAGTTGCAGTCTGTTTTGGAATGGGTGGCCAGTAATAAACTGGTCCTGAACATCTCTAAAACTAAGAGCATTGTATTTGGTACAAATCATTCCCTAAGTTCTAGACCTCAGCTGAATCTGGTAATGAATGGTGTGGCTGTTGAATAAATGGAAGAGACTAAATTACTTGCCGTTACCTTAGATTGTAAACTGTCATGGTCAAAACATACACTGCTCAAAAAAATAAAGGGAACACTAAAATAACACATCCTAGATCTGAATGAATGAAATAATCTTATTAAATACTTTTTTCTTTACATAGTTGAATGTGCTGACAACAAAATCACACAAAAATGATCAATGGAAATCAAATTTATCAACCCATGGAGGTCTGGATTTGGAGTCACCCTCGAAATGAAAGTGGAAAACCACACTACAGGCTGATCCAACTTTGATGTAATGTCCTTAAAACAAGTCAAAATGAGGCTCAGTAGTGTGTGTGGCCTCCACGTGCCTGTATGACCTCCCTACAACGCCTGGGCATGCTCCTGATGAGGTGGCGGATGGTCTCCTGAGGGATCTCCTCCCAGACCTGGACTAAAGCATCCGCCAACTCCTGGACAGTCTGTGGTGCAACGTGGCGTTGGTGGATGGAGCGAGACATGATGTCCCAGATGTGCTCAATTGGATTCAGGTCTGGGGAACGGGCGGGCCAGTCCATAGCATCAATGCCTTCCTCTTGCAGGAACTGCTGACACACTCCAGCCACATGAGGTCTAGCATTGTCTTGCATTACGAGGAACCCAGGGCCAACCGCACCAGCATATGGTCTCACAAGGGGTCTGAGGATCTCATCTCGGTACCTAATGGCAGTCAGGCTACCTCTGGCGAGCACATGGAGGGCTGTGCGGCCCCCCAAAGAAATGCCACCCCACACCATGACTGACCCACCGCCAAACCGGTCATGCTGGAGGATGTTGCAGGCAGCAGAATGTTCTCCACGGCGTCTCCAGACTCTGTCACGTCTGTCACATGTGCTCAGTGTGAACCTGCTTTCATCTGTGAAGAGCACAGGGCGCCAGTGGCGAATTTGCCAATCTTGGTGTTCTCTGGCAAATGCCAAACGTCCTGCGCGGTGTTGGGCTGTAAGCACAACCCCCACCTGTGGACGTCGGGCCCTCATACCACCCTCATGGAGTCTGTTTCTGACCGTTTGAGCAGACACATGCACATTTGTGGCCTGCTTGAGGTCATTTTGCAGGGCTCTGGCAGTGCTCCTCCTGCTCCTCCTTGCACAAAGGCGGAGGTAGCGGTCCTGCTGCTGGGTTGTTGCCCTCTTACGGCCTCCTCCACGTCTCCTGATGTACTGGCCTGTCTCCTGGTAGCGCCTCCATGCTCTGGACACTACGCTGACAGACACAGCAAACCTTCTTGCCACAGCTCGCATTGATGTGCCATCCTGGATGAGCTGCACTACCTGAGCCACTTGTGTGGGTTGTAGACTCTGTCTCATGCTACCACTAGAGTGAAAGCACCGCCAGCATTCAAAAGTGACCAAAACATCAGCCAGGAAGCATAGGAACTGAGAAGTGGTCTGTGGTCACCACCTGCAGAACCACTCCTTTATTGGGGGTGTCTTGCTAATTGCCTATCATTTCCACCTGTTGTCTATTCCATTTGCACAACAGCATGTGAAATTTATTGTCAATCAGTGTTGCTTCCTAAGTGGACAGTTTGATTTCACAGAAGTGTGATTGACTTGGAATTACATTGTGTTGTTTAAGTGTTCCTTTTTTTTTTTGAGCAGTGTAGATTCAATGGTTGTAAAGATGGGGAGAGGTCTGTCCGTAATAAAGAGATGCTCTGCTTTTTTGACACAAGGCTCCAAAAAGCAAGTTTTGCTGGCTCTAGTTTTGTCTTAACTTGATTATTGTCCAGTCGTGTGGTCAAGTGCTGCAAAGAAAGACCTAGTTAAGCTGCAGCTGGCCCAGAACAGAGCAGCACCTCTTGCTCTTCCTTGTAATCAGAGGGCTGATATAAATACTATGCATGCCAGTCTCTCTTGGTTAAGAGTTGAGAGACTGACTACATCACTTCTTATTTTTATAAGAAACATGAATGTGTTGAAAATCCCAAATTGTTTGCATAGTCAATTTACACACAGCTCTGACACACACACTTACCCCACCAGACTAGCCACCAGGAGTCTTTTCACAGTCCCCAAATCCAGAACAAATTCAAGAAAGCATACAGTATTATATAGAGCCATTATTGCATGGAACTCCGTTCCATCTCATATTGCTCAAATAAACAGCAAACCTGGTTTCAAAAAACAGATAAAGCAACACCTCATGGCACAACGCTTCTCCGCTATTTGACCTAGATAGCTTGGCTGTATGTATTGATATGTAGGCTACCTGTGCCTTTAAAAAAAATTTTATGTAGTTCTGTCCTTGAGCTGTTCTTGTCTATTAATGTTCTGTATTATGTCATGTTTCATGTTTTGTGTGGACCCCAGGAAGAGTAGCTGCTGCTTTTGCAACAGCTGATGGGGATCCTAATAAAATACCAAATACCAAAGGTCGAAACTTTAAATTGCTCTCAAATCGCTTTTGCACCTGCTTTATGGAATCGCTTATTAGGGATTTCAGAACTCTTGTGGTGTGTCCTATAATTTTGGCTCACCTAAT